AAGGAAAAACTGTTAACATTTAATGCTATTTTACATTGGCCAAATTAATTCTATTCAATTTTAATCCAATATATATATATATATATATTTTCTTAATCATTCCGCTTAATTGATGAGTTGATTAATCTGACTAATCATTGTTGATTAAAAGGAATGATGCATATCACTACAAATGTCATTTCGATGGCCTACAGAATGTATGATGACTTCTAACGGTTCTGATGATGTAATTTACGAAGCTATTAAAAATGTTTTCCAAAAATATCGCCACACATTGCAAAATAATTTATAAAAGTAGCTCTTAGAGGTGAGGGAAAGAGGTGAAATTAAATTTAAATTTAATTTTTTAAAGTTAATTTTTTTCGTTCAATTTTTTTGTTAGAAGTAGAATTAGATTAAATTAAATTTTTTTTGTTAAAAATAAAATTAAATTTTCTGCAATATATCTGATTTAAAAAATTTTTAATATTTGTTTTCATTATTCGTTGTTTGATTATTCGACAAGAATTGATTATTTGATCAAATGAATCAGTACAATAAAAATATTACATATATGATATGATTATAAAAGAATAAAAAAAAATTAAAAAAATGACTTCTAACGTCTGCAAAAAAAAAAAATTAAAATAAAAAAATTGAAAAATTTTTTTAAAAAAGAATTTTTCTTTCTGCAAAAATTAAAATTAAGCCTTTTTTTTTTTTGCAAAAATTAAAATAAAGCAATAAAGGCTTGAAATCTATGATAAAAGAATCTAACACGATAGTAGCAGACTTGTTTTTTTCATAGGAAAAGTGCATATTTTAGAAATGCATTTCATATATTTCCGGAATATTTAGCAAATTATACTGTAATAAATGATGCGCAATTTGGTTTGATGCTTTCATGGACGATGAAGTGACAACAACGACAAAATGTTAGCAAAAACGGTCATATCACATCGCAAAAGGGTTTTTTTTTTTTTTTTACTAAAAATATTTTCAAACTTTTCATCTTCCTAACAGTTAATTTTGAAACTTCAATCAATAGCTTCATGCTAATCTTTTTTTTTTTTCCTTAAAGCATCAATTAAAAACAATCCTATCATATCCGTTACGATGCAAATGTTCATTTCAATCTAATATTGAATATATAAATAATTAGCATTGCGAAATAAAATCATTCTTTTAATGCAACAATTGCTTTTTTTTTTTCATGCAAATTGCACGGACAGTAAAATTTTCAAATGGGCGATAATTTTAAAATTTCATCATTTATGATAAGGAATTTTTTCACCAACACCTTTTCCATGTAATTAGCTTAAGCTTAACATTTTTAAGCTTAAGCATGAAAACTTTCGCTTTAACAATTAATAATGCATCTTAACAAAAGCCATTCATAAAGCAACAATTCCCATAATCATTTGGCTAATGAATGTATTGCATAAATGCATGTTGAAAATGATATTTCATTAATGCTTATTGAAGTAATTCGTCTTACTGATTATAAAATGACTTATAATATCAATGATTCATTCATTCTTTTTAAATTATTAACCAATGATAAGTTGATTAATTGATATTATAATATATTTGATTGTACCAGATAACTACAACCATTAATTTCTTTGAAATTTTTTTCAATCTTCTAATTTTTGTAATAGCCAAAAATTTTTTTTCGTTTTTTTTTTTGCATACTGTAATTAATGGTCAATTTTAAGCTTTAGCTACAGCTTAAATAGCTTAAATGCATAATTCAAATCATTTTTCAGTTACAAATATTACAAGGATAACATCAAAAATGTTGGAAAATAAGGAGTTATTTTTAATAATTACATTTATTGTTTATGCATTCCAAGGATTATTAATTATTATTTGCAATGGTGTGGTTGAATTAGCATTAATTAAACATCGACATCTCAGACGCCAATATATCATTTTATTTGCGCAGGTAATTCATTAGGATGACTTCTGATTATCTGTTATTTAACAAATATTTAATTATCCGTTTGTTTACATTTTCATCCATCTTTCTTGTTTTTTTTTTTTATTTTTAATCAAATATTTTCAATTCATAGCTTATTGCCGATACAATGTTGGGATTTGGGCTTTGTTTAGCCGGAATCGGTCGTCTAATTATGATAGGATTTGGATATTTCCGGATAACCAAACGATTTTGCTTACTGCTACCATGGTTACCGGTTATGACGTGATAAGTTTTAGTGCTTAAATTTTAATTTATCTATTGTTTCGTAATAAATTTCGATCATTTATTCCACATTTAAATATTGATTATTTTGTAAATAATATGAATAATTTAGGTCAAAGTTAATGTCCGCTGTCTCAACACTTATGGTAAGTACAGATCGTATTATTTCACTAACATTTCCAATGCGATATTTTGAAAAGAATTATTCATATCAAATTAAACAGGTTACTCTTTGTTTCATTTTTAGCACGAAACAATTAAATTATTCTAACTTTTTGCATGTAAAAATTTTGATGAACACAGTTTCGAAAATTTTGCAAATCTTTAATCCATAAATTAAAATTTCCTCAAAATTTCCATGTAATAATCAAAGCTAAGTCAAAGGTTGACAATTTATGAGAAATACTAACACCAAAATCTCCAGAAGTTTTTCTTTTTTTTTTTTAGATCATTTTTTATTTTGGTTCAGTATCATTATACATTTTAATTGGTTGGATTTTATCCACCACCAGAGATATCGATTCCATGTTGAAAAGTTTTTGCTGGTAAGTATTGATTTGATTCACAGATAAAATTCAATGAATCGCTTTCATTTTTCACTGAGAATCCTATATTCAGGACAAGTGATGTTCTGGAACCATTTTTTGCGAATCTGAATGCTTTGGTGATGATTATTTCCACATCTTTAAGTGTTATCCTTTACATAATTGTGTATTTGCTAAGTAGAAAACATCTTCGCCGAATAAAAAGCAATCAAACGGTATATTTACATTTGTGTTTTTTCTTTTTTTTTTTTTTGTACTGATTCAACCGTTCCGGTTCTCCTTAAGTTGAAAGTGGATCCACTCTTCCCGATTTTTTAATGCAACAAGAAACTCAGTCATGAATTCAAGTTACATTAAGCAAGCTGCATTAATATAACATAGCAATAATTGAAGGTCCAATTGAATATTATCCATTTTGTGGCTCATCTTCAAAATACCATTAAAGCAAACAGGAATTAAGCATTTAAAAAGATGAAATTTGAAGTTTCTACAAAGTTCAGTCGACTGAACATATCTGATGCGATATTGTCACAACAATTGCTAGATGAATAAGGGAGAAGATAAATACTAATATCAATAACTTTGATTGATTAGAATAAATTAATTGGGACTGACGATTAATATTATCAGACCTATCATTCCCAAACTATGTAAGGCAGCCATTTCCGGAAACGTTCTAAAATACTGCAATATCGTTTATTTCAGGAAAGATCATTACGGTTATTCGAAGCACGTCAACGTAAGCTCACCATTACAATAGGTGTATCTTGTGTGCTTACTTTATTCTTCTACGTGATACCATTATCTTTTAAGATGTTGATATACGATTATGATGATGATCCAACAACCTACTATGACGAACTATTACGTATGGCAGTAGCTATTAGTTGTAATTTGAATCCAATAACAAATATAGCTGCAATCCTAATAAAACAGGATGATATTGCATGTTACGTAAGACAATTATTTCCGAAATGTATTCAGAAAAGTATTTTTAAGTGTAATCAAATAACGATTGCTTATTGCGTGAAAGAGTAAATAATCCTAACTATTGATTTATGAATGAATTAAATTATTATTTATACTGAATACTAACCGTAAATCATAGTTTTTTTTTTTTTAAATTATTCATCCTTTATGTTTACTAATTTTAATTTTGTTACTTAGAAAAGTTGTTGTTG